ATAAGACCCCGATCGTATATTAATGTTACTATATATATGAATCATCGTTTATGATAGTATAGATGAGTACAAATAATAACACAAAAGTGGCCCATCATCGGCCCTACCGACGATTTATGATCATGATGATGTTGATACCCATGATGTTAATGTTTATAATAATAATGATGATCAATTAGATCAATTTTTACCCTTGTATTAATGAAATAAATATTGTTTCTTATATCAATACTCCATTAATGTAATTTAAAGGTTACAATTATCTTAACATTAAACTAACATTAATTTAAATATAATAATAATGCTTTAGGCAATTATTTTTCTAAATAATTTGATTGACATTTGTTATACAATATATTTGAGTTAGGATTATCCTTTAATTGTTGTAAATCAATTGACGCAAGCATTTACGTATATTTTTGAAGTATTAAATTAAAATCCTGGTAAACACAATGTGAAACTATTCCATGTTTCCTAAATGTAAGGCGAATTGTTGTTGAATTTGATTCTTATTTATGCCATGTTATATTGCCATATTGTCTAATTTGATAGTGTTTGCAATTATAATGTATTTAAAAATGGATTAAAATTTTGATTGATTGGTGAATTTATACAAATTATGCACAGATATTACCTGCGAAACTCGTTTATAAAATTTTGAAATTACATTGCATAAAATTAAACAATTATGTATCCAGTTTATAGTTACAAAACTTGTAGAATATTTTACAAAATAAATAGAAAATGGTATATTGTACTTTATACTGATATAATAAATTTATTTACTTATAAAATAATTTACAAATAGTTATAGCATTTTAATAATGACAATCATTTGTTATTTTATGATTAATATGATGCAATTCAAGTGATTTTATAAGCTTTCCTTGCTACAACTTCTAACTCGTAAATGAATAATATGAGTATAATACATACAATATTTCTCAATAGGTATAGCGATTTCAATAGAAAACCACTTATTGTAGAGAATTGACATTTATAAAGTGGACAAAAGTACAAGGTATCACTTGATAAACTTTAAAGTACTTGCTTATGTAACTTATAGAACGCAAAGTGACTAAAACTAGCTTTAATTATACTATATACAACTACAATAACTATTATATCATATGTTAGTCGAGTAAATGTACAAGTATCATTGCAATATTTGATGCAATCTCACAAAAATTGTTTTAATTGAATTCTAATTACACGTTGTATTTGAATTTGTAATAATAAATTAAATTTTATTATTAATTCTAACCATAACTGATATTTTTATTTGTAAATTAAAAAGAAATATTACCAAAAATGAGTGACATTTGTGGTGTTTGTGGGGATCGATCAACAGGTATGGCATGAATTGACCATAGCGTTTCTTGACTAACCTATTTTAAATATTCATTTAATTGTTATAATAAAATTTATATAAATATATTAATTATTTAGGCCAAAACTTTGGTGTCTTAACGTGTGAATCCTGTCGGTCATTCTTTCGTAGAAATGCCAACAGAGCAGAGGTTATAATAATTTAATAATTATATTATTAGTTAATATTAAATAATAACGTCTACTATATTTAAATATAAATAGAAATTATGCTGTTATGCAGTCAATCAATGTGTTGTCAATCAATTGACGCGAAAAACCTGTAAAAAGTGTAGAATTGATAAATGTCTGGCCATAGGAATGAAGAAAGTAAGTGTACTATAAGTCCATTATTAAAATCAAGATCATTTAGTGAAAAATTAATTACACACTAATAATTTTGACATAAATTTTATTACAATGTAATGAATGCAAAAATTGGTATTTTAGAAATTGATTCGCAAAAACAATGAGAGCACTCTATCGCAGGCCTCAACTGTCAGTTCGCCGTCGGATGTGATGTGTTTGTATCGAAAGGATGGCATCAGTGATAATAATGCAGACAACTGTGCCATCAATCAGATCCCAGCCCTTATTCGTGGCCTTATATTTCAATTCAATGATCTGGAAATGCGTCGATTGAGACAATTATTCAACTCAACGGCTATTATAAAGGACCCGATTGTAGAGATAGCGTCGGAACCGATATCAGTGTCGGAAATCTACCATGTTATACAAGCTAGAATTGAAATACACTGTCGGCGTATCATTAAAATGTGTAAAACTATTAATGAATTCACAGAATTGTGCGAAAACGACAGAATAATCCTATTGAAGGCCTGCTGTCCAGAGATTATATGCCTCTTAAGTGTACTAACTTTTGATTTTGTGGGCGAATTTTGGACACTTTATATTGTATGAAATGATTTCATGTATTTTATTATTTAATTTTAAAATTTTATCATGTTTAGCGTTCAGACAATGCAGCCATCATGAAATTAGATGTATTAAAGTGGGGCACAGAGAATGTATATGGATTTCAAAAGGATTTTATGTATAAACTCAACCAAGAGTATAATCAAGACATGAATCTATTGGATTTGGTGATTATATTTTTAATTAGTTTAAAATTTTAACTGTATTTAATTTAATGTTTGTTTTAGTTGATAGCAATTGTATTATTCAATCCAAATCGTTCTAATATAATACAAAAAGATCTAATTAAGTAAGTGATCAAGTGAAAAAATTATACAGGCAATACTTTTTAACAATTTTAAAATTTAATAACTTATGTTTACATTACAGACTTCAAAGGGAAACATATATTTATTTACTTAAACGGTATTTAGAAGTAAAACACAACTCGAAAACAGAGGCAGAGATACGGTTCACAGCATTAATGAATTGTCTGCAAAACGTTTATTTAGTGAATGCATTATTTTTAAGCAATTATTTATCCTACCCTGGTCCTAAAAGTACCCAATTGATAGCAGAAATTTTATCATAGTAATTGTTATTCAGTATAGCATACAGTAATACATTGCTATTTATAAATTCAAAATTTTTTATTAATGTTAATAATTGATATCCTAAGAAATCTTATTAATCATTTTCTACTAACGAGTAATTGATATTTATAATTATTTATATTTTATTTTGTAAATTATTAAATTAAACAAATAAAAATTGTGAAATTTTAAATAGATTGAACTAATCCAATGGTACTATGTTCATTTTATTATACTATATTTGCATTTATTGAGTACAATATCTATAAACAATTATATAAAGAGTGAAAATATGGAAAAGACTGAATTGTTGGCAGAAATATTATTATAATTCTAATAATAAATACACAACAATACAGAACTGGTCACATAAATAATTTGCTGTTTATACTTAATTATTGTAAAATAATATTAATGAATTAAATTAAACTATAAATTATAGTCTATAATATATACAATGCATAACGAATACAATGGCAATTCACATTCATGTGATTTATTTTTAACTAATTTTTTTCGTACCAATATTTGAATGCAATGATAATCTCAATATTAACACTTAAATGACATAAAGTATATTTAATTAACAACTAATAATAATTACTTTAATTATTGATGTTTTACATAAACACTCATACACTGTATATAATAGCGCATGTGTCCAAGGTAAAATTGACATAAACATCATAGGTAACGTAGATAATATTTTTATATTATTATCATTGATTTATCAATATGAATTCATTTTTATTATTTGTTACCAGATGCATTATTAACTAATCGCTATACTGATTATTACTTCCATGAATTATGCTATTGTAAATTATAGCGAAATTATTTATATGTGCTAATTTATTTAAGTATTAATAACTTATAACATGAATCTTATTATTTGAAATAAAGCTAATATTTTAAATAACTAAACATTATATTTATTGGATTTAATTATTTATGTGTCATTCAAAAACTTTAGTCAAAACATACAATCAATTAGCAGTTTGTTATTAGAAATGAGTGATAAAATATGTGCCGTTTGTGGGGATAAAGGATTATGTATTAAATTTTAAAAAAATATTATTATATAATTAATTTATTAATTTTAAATTATAAATAACATAATGTATCCGTTGTTAAGGTTTAAGTTTCGGTGCCCTCACTTGTGAATCGTGTCGAGTATTCTTTCGTAGAAATGTCAACAGAATTCAGGTTTTATTGATATATTAATTAAAATTTAAATATAATTATGTTTTGCTATATATTTAGGAATTTTATTGTATTTTTGACAATAAATGTGTTGTCAATCAATTGACGCGAAAATTCTGTAAAAAGTGTAGAATTGATAAATGTTTGGCAAAAGGCATGAAGAAAGTGAGTGACGTTTCAATTCATTTTTTATATTTTTTATATCATTTTTTATACGTTCTGTATTTAACGTTAAACTATTGGCAACAAAAATATACATAAATATCAAATAAAATGCAATATTAATAATACTTTGTCTTATAAAACAGGGATTTTTTTATACAAACGAAGAAAGGGAACAAATGGTTAAATATAGTGACAAAAAGCAAACGGTAAACAATAAAATCACTACTATTTTGAAGACATCGACTCCCAGTGGCATCAATTGGGTGTTAGATATGATATCCGGTGTTATATTTGATTTAAACGATATGGAAAGGCATCGATTGACACAATTGTTTAAATCAACCGCTTTTATAAAAGACCCGGTCGTGAGGCCAACATCTGAAGCCAATACAATACCCGAAATCATACGAGTGTTACGAATGAGAACTGAAATACATTGTCGGCGTATAATTAAAATGTGTAAAACAATGCCTGAATTCACAGAATTGTGCGAAAACGACAGAATAATACTCTTAAAGACCTGCTGTCCAGAGATTATATGCCTAACGAGTGTATTAACGTTTAATTTTGACCGACAATTCTGGACGCTTTATATTGTATGAAATGTTATTTTAAATTATAAATTATGGATTTATATTATCTGTTGATTATTTAGGATTCAAAATCAGCTGTTAGAATGGACCTAGATGTTTTAAAGTGGGGCAAATTAAGTATTTATGATGGTCAAAGAAATTTTATGTTTAAACTTAACCACGAGTATAATCACGACACGAATCTCATGGATTTGGTACTTATATATTGTTGTAATAAAATTAAATTATAAAATATTCTCTATATTTACAGTTAACAGTCATTGTTTTATTTAATCCCAATCGGCCTAATTTGATACACCGAGATATAATTAAGTAAGTGATCATGTTATTTTCGATGATAGAATTATTTAATTAACAATTTATTTATATTGCAGTTTGCAAAGAAAAACGTATATTTATTTACTTAAACGGTATTTAGAGTTAAAACATAACTCAAAATCGGAGGCAGAGATACGATTCACGGCATTAATGAATTGTCTGCAAGACTTGTATTCTGTGAACACATTATTTGTAAACAATTATATGGAAGACGAAAATATGGAAAAGACTGAATTACTCACAGAAATTTTGTCATAATTATAAAGTAATAAATGTTAATATATTAATTATTTATACATTGATATGTGATTGTAAGTATCCATTTGAACAGGATTGTACATACTGTATTGCTTCATGAATAAAGTATAAAATATTATTTTTATTATTTATCAAAAATATACCTTGTTAGTTTCATTATAACTTGATAGTTTCATCATGCAGTCTATAATGATATACAATTGGCATTGTATGTATATATTCTAAGACATCTCAAAAATATATCAAAAATAATGCTCAAAATTTTAAGGGTTTGTGACATAAGAAATGCTAAGAGATGTCGATAAACAATCCAAATGTGTTACACAACGACCCAATTGTGTGAAAACGATTAGATAATTCTAAATTAAATTACCCTATTTTAAGTTAATGTAAAACGATATTATTTTTATCAAATGGTATATGGCGTTAAGTTCTTCACTAACTAAATAATTAACTAAAAATAATATTTTATAGGAGTTCCAAGTATTTCATATATCTAATAAATTAATACCTATGTAATCAACAATTGTGCTACTTATCAGATAAGGTGAACCTTCATAAACATAGTTCCTATAGGGCTTTAAAAACAATGTTAAGTTACAAACACCTTTTTCAAGTACTGTATAATGTAAGATGTACAAAATATTTATTACTAAAAACTTTATCAATTTTTACTATAATACCAATATGTTTATAATAAAAATTATTTAAATAATGAAAATGAGTGATAGAATATGTGCCGTTTGTGGGGATAAAGCATTATGTATTGCAAAATTTATAGATGTGTATTATAATTACAAATAACTTAATGTATTCAATATTTAGTTCAAAGTTACGGCGCCTTTACTTGTGATCCGTGTCGGGTATTCTTCAGCAGAAATGCCACCAAAACTCAGGTATTATTGAGTTTTAATGGTTGAGATAATTGTGTTTTGAAATATAATTTTAGGAATTGTTTTGTCGTTTCGACGGTAAATGTGTTGTCAATCAATTGACGCGAAAATTCTGCAAAAAGTGTAGAATTGATAAATGTTTTGCCATCGAAATGAAAAAAGTGAGCGACTTTTTAATGCATTTGTTTTATACATTAGTAAAATAAAATAAGTAAAATTTAAATAATATTTATATTTATTGACTTAACAGGACCCAAAAACAGAACTTAAAAATAAAGTAAAATGTGATAATTGCAAACAATTAAAAGACATTAAATTCACTTCTTGTCGGAACTCAACTCTCAAGTCAAAGGGAGATGTGATGTGTTTGTATGGAAACGATGGCAGCGAAAACATTGGCATCAAACAGATCTCAGTTTCCTTACGGGGAGTTATATTTGGTTTAAATGATATGGAAAGGTGTCGATTGACACAAGTGTTTAAATCAACCGCTTTTATAAAAGACCCGATCGTAAAGTCCACATCTGAAGTGAATACAGGGGCCGAAGCGTTAAGAGTGTTACGAATGAGAACTGAAATACATTGTCGGCGTATAATTAAAATGTGCAAAACTATCGATGAATTCACAGAATTGTGCGAAAACGACAGAATAATACTTTTGAAGACCTGCTGTCCAGAGATTATATGCCTAACGAGTGTATTAACGTTTAATTTTGACCGACAATTCTGGACCCTTTATATTGTATGAAATGTTATTTTAAATTATGGATTTATATTATTTGTTGATTATTTAGGATTCAAAATCAGCTGTTAGGATGAACCTAGATGTTTTGAAGTGGGGCAAATTAAGTATTTATGATGGTCAGAGAAATTTTATGTTTAAACTTAACCAAGAGTATAATCACGACACAAATCTCATGGATTTGGTATTTATAAAGTTTTATATTGTTTTTTATAAAATTTAGTTATAAAATATTCTCTATATTTACAGTTAACAGTCATTGTTTTATTTAATCCCAATCGGCCTAATTTGAGACACCGAGATATAATTAAGTAAGTGATCATGTTATTTTAGATGAAATAATTATTTAATTTAAAATTTATTTATATCGCAGTTTGCAAAGAAAAACGTATATTTATTTACTTCAACGGTATTTAGAGTTAAAACATAACTCAAAATCGGAGGCAGAGATACGGTTCAAGCGATTAATGAATTGTCTGCAAGACTTGTATTCTGTGAACACATTATTTGTAAACAATTATATGGAAGACGAAAATATGCAAAAGACTGAATTACTCGCAGAAATTTTGTCATAATTATTAAGTAATAAATGTTGATATACAGTGTCATCGGCCATTAACGAAGTTTTTAATTTTTTAATTATTCAAAAAGTACAAGAGATATTTTATTCAAATTTTTTGCAAAAAATAGATAAAAGTCTGGCATTATTGAATCAGCTTTTCAAAATTTTCCCCAACCATGGCGATCACGTGATGGAGCAGACCAAAATCTCCTCGCGGCAATTATGTAATATTTCAGAGGTCGAGATTACGATAAATGAAAACACGTTGAACACACATCCCATACATTCACATAAATAGCTGTGCACATTTTCCCCTATTTTCGATTGATAGTTTACAGATGGCATGAATTTCAAAGATGAAATGACAAGTTAAACTGTATATATATTTTTTTTGAAAATGGCGCCATCTTTAAATTATTAATTGGAAATGTAAAAAAATTGCACATCTATTTAAGTGAATGTATGTGCTGTGTGCTCAACGTGTCTCGTTTATCGTAATGCCGATTTATAAAACTTGAAATAATTGCCCGAGCGGTGCTCAATTTTGAAATTCGGCTCCGTCACGTGATCGCTATGGTTGGTAAAAATTTTGAAATCGTGATTCAATAATGCCACACTTTTATCTATTTTTTGCAAAAAATTTGAATAAAATATCTCTTGTACTTTTTAAATAATAAAAAAATTAAAAACTTCGTTAATGTTTGAACACACTGTATTTATGATTTATACATTGATATGTAATTTTAAGTATAAATTTGAACAGGATTGTACATACTGTATTGCTTTATGAATAAAGTATAAAATTTTATTTCTATTATTTACTAAAAATATACCTTGTTAGTTTCATTTTAGTCTATAATTATATACAATTTGTATTGTATGGATAAATTCTAAAACATCTTATAAATATATCAAAAATAATGCTCAAAATCTTAAGGGTTTGTGAGTAAATGCTAAGATATGGCGATAAATAATCCAAATGTGTTACACAACGACCGAATTGAGCGATTAGTGTAAAAACGATTAGATAATCCTAAATTTAATTACACTATTTTAATTTAATGTAAAACTGTATTATCAATTGGTATATGGCGTTAGGCGTTGGGTTGTTTACTAACTAAATAATTAATTGAAAATAATATATTATAAGAGTTTTAAGTATTTCAGATATCTAATCAATTAATACCTATGTAATCAACAATTGTGCTATTTATCAGATAAGGTGCTCCTTTATAATCATAGTTCCTATAGGGTCTTAAAAACAATGTTACGTCAAACATATTACAATTACTGTATAATATAGGATGTACGAAATATTTATTACTAAAAACATTATCAATTGTAATATTCTCACAATTTATACTATAATACCTGTATAATATCTCGTGTTTGTTTATACCAATATGTTTATAACAAAATATAACTTGACAAGAATAGTATAAACTTTTAAAACTTGTAAAAATTATTTAAATAATGAAAATGAGTGATAGAATATGTGCCGTTTGTGGGGATAAAGCATTATGTATTGCATAAATTATTATTGTGTATTATACAGTAATAACAAGTAACTTAATGTATTCAATATTTAGATCAAAGTTATGGCGCCCTTACTTGCGATCCGTGTCGAGTATTTTTTCGCAGAAATGCCACCAAAACTCAGGTTTTATTGATTTTTTAAATTTAATGGTTGAGATAATTGTATTTTAAAATATAATTTTAGGCATTGGTTTGTCGTTTCGACGGTAAATGTGTTGTCAATCAATTAACGCGAAAATTCTGTAAAAAGTGTAGAATTGATAAATGTTTTACCATCGGAATGAAAAAAGTGAGCGACTTTTCAATGCATTTGTTTTAAACATTAGTAAAATAAAAATTAATAAAAACTAATCACTAGATATTAAAAATCTATTTATGTATTTAAAACCAACATGACATATTTATATTTATTGACTTAACAGGAATATTGTGACTCAAAAACAGAACTTGAAAACAAAGTCACTGATAATAATTGCATACAAATCAGAGACATTGAATCCACTTCTTGTCGGGACTCAACTCTCAAGTCAAAGGAAGATGTGATTTGTTTGTATGGAAACGATGGCAGCGATAACATTGGCATCAAACATATCTCAGTCACCTTACGGGGGGTTATATTTGGTTTAAATGATATGGAAAGGTGTCGATTGACACAAGTGTTTAAATCAACCGCTTTTATTAAAGACCCGGTCGTGAGGCCAACGTCTGCAGTCAATACAATAGCCGAAGCGTTAAGAGTGTTACGAATGAGAACTGAAATACATTGTCGGCGTATAATTAAAATGTGCAAAACTATGGATGAATTCACAGAATTGTGCGAAAACGACAAAATAATACTTTTGAAGACCTGCTGTCCAGAGATTATATGTCTCTCAAGTGTCCTAACGTTTGATTTTGTGGGCAAATTCTGGACCGTCTATATTGTATAAAATGATAATTAATTCTTTATTAATTTTTAAATAATTTTATAAATAATTATTATTTATATAAGATTTGAATTTTGTTTGGATATTTAGGACTCGAAATCTGTGGCCAGTTTGAGCGTAGAAACTTTAAAATGGGGCACCATGAGCAATTTTGATCGGCAAAGAATTATGAATTTTATGTACAAACTTAACCAGGAGTATAATGGCGACACAAATCTCATGGATTTGGTGATTATAATTAAAATAATGCAAATAATATTTTCTAATTATACTTTATGTTAACAGTTAACAGCAATTGTCTTATTTAATCCAAATCGTCATAATTTGATACAAAGAGATATAATAAAGTAAGTGTAAAAATATAGAAAATTAATTAATGGGATCTCATAAATTGATTAATAAAACTTAAATTTCGTTTGTATTGCAGTTTGCAAAGAAAAATGTATATGTATTTAATTCAACGGTATTTGGAGTTAAAACACAACTCAAAAACAGAGGCAGAGATACGGTTCACAGCATTAATGAATTGTCTGCAAGACTTGTATTCTGTGAACACATTATTTGTAAACAATTATATGGAACACGAAAATATGGAAAAGACTGAATTACTCGCAGAAATATTACCATAATATAATAATAATTGATTAATTATAAATATAAATGAAATATACTTTCTTATGTATTTTTAGATTACATTAATAATTTTAAACAAATGCACTTGTAACTATGCACAATTATGCACAATAAATTGTGGTCAATTGATGGCAACTGTATTTGTATAAAACGAAACTAACAGTTAAACTCTTTGACTTTAAACTTAATATTACGTCAAAACGGATAACACCCTTATATATAAAATGTTGATTTTAAAAACGTTGTATTATTCTGTTAACTTCTAATTAAAAACTGCAACAAATACAATATAATAAAGAATTTGCATAGAATTTGCATAGAATTTGCATAGAATTTGCATAGAATTTGCATAGAATTTGCATAGAATTTGCATAGAATTTGCATAGAATTTGCATAGAATTTGCATAGAATTTGCACTCCAGTTAAAATATAATGTGTTTATCATATTATATCATATAAAATATTTTGATTTGTTTATTTCAATTTTGAATAAATTTATGATTTTTTTTTTGTAAATTTAACTTAAGTTTTCATATCAATTAAATTTCAATTAATTATAATAACTTAAAATAGATGTTGTAATTTGATTGACAGTTTAATATAGTAAATGACAATGCATGAGAATCCGCATTGCTGAATCACTCATTATCCAATTCTCTGCTATAATCATAAATCGAGTATTTCCATGTGGCACAATTTGCTCACAAACATAACAACAATAGCACTCAAGTCATTATTGTTGTAAACTCTTGCGTTGAATATTGAAAATAATTTTAATAGCCTTGGAATACATTTGATAAAAATTACTTAAAACCCTTTTGTATACCACATTAGTGTTGGGAAATTCACGTCATATTTCCCAATTTAAGGAAAAATACCTATTTTATCAATAAGAGTCCAATTGTTCATGTTGCTGTTAGACATTTATTTAGTGGGGCAAATAGCCATGTTTACCTAAATTATTTTTAAATCTATTTTATTAAATCTAAAAATAAATTTTTCTGGATTTGAATTGATGTTATTATTAGCAAATATTGTTTGTAAAACGACTACAAAAAAGGTATCAATAGTTATTAAGTTGTGGTGATAATAGACTAAGAACATAACAACAAATGTGGTTATAATTAATTATATTATTAATTGTGATAATTAATGTCAGAATTAATTAATATAATAATTTTGTTGTTTATATTTTGTGCATTGAATTTCAATGAAAAATAAAGCAAACAAACTTTAAATATTATAATTAACTGATTTTAATAATGAAAAATATAAAAATTTATATAACTTTCTAAAGACAAATGCAATGTAAATGTCAATAAAAGACAGCAATTGTTTCAATATTTAATATGCAATTATATATTATATTTATTTTCATTTACAGGTATTACTAATGAGGAAATAAATTTATTCAACAGTAAGTTTTATAAAAAATAAAATTATTTGCTCATTATTTTAGATTTACCATAATACCACATTTTCTATCACTATGAAAATAAAAATTTTATCATTTTTATGTAAAAACCTTTTTGAAAATAATTATTATCAAACAAACTATTGATAAATTGCATAACACATACACTTCTCTATGCAAAGTATATATGCTAACAAGTATTTCTACTATCACTTTAATTGAGGTGTTTTTACCAAGAATTGAGCATATACGTCTAACATATTGTATGCAATAGCGCAGGTGTACCATCAAGGTAACCATCATGAGAGAGATTTTCCTAACATTTTAGTAATCATTAAAGTAAAGTACATTGCATTCAGTGAGTGTGTCACTAGATTCGGCTGATATCACAAGTATATTATATATGTTTGCTGTAAATATTCAGATATTCAATTTAATCTGATAAACGCAAAAAACAACCTCGTACTGTGTATTTTAAATTTTGTTGCGCACCATTAAATGTGCATGCTTAAATATTAACCTAATATACATGTAATATACTGTATATTGTCTGTGGTATGTATAGATGCAATAATATAAAGATAAGTTTGTTGTAAATAGTGATTTCCAATAAATAGTGGTTTGTTTGTAAAACACTTGTTGTATACGACGAGGATATCCATCGATATAACTTTATATAGTAACTGAATTATTACTTCATTTGTGTCTAAAATATATCCAAATGTAACTGTAAAACGGATAGAGTTTAATAAATGCCTGAATGTATGAATAAAAGAAACAAAGTTTATATTAAAAATTAATTTAATTTACAAACCACTACCTTTTATTGATTAGTTCTGTGTATTAAGTTATTGAATTTTTTAATCAATTTCAATGAACATTTGATATTTTAATTAACCATACGTGTTGTGGACGATAATTATTTGTGTGATTTTATGAATTATAAGCAAATTCATCGCAAAAATGAGTGATAAAATATGTGTCGTTTGTGGGGACCGAGCATTAGGTAAGACATATCAACAAAAAAAACTAAAAACATAAATTGATAAACTTTATATGTCATTTAAATCATACTAAATGATCTTCATTACAAATCCTATTACATAACTATGTAGCATAATTATCTCTGTGATTTGTGACATTAAACATATTAATGCCCTTTGTCGTGAGACTTTTATTCATTATGATCACCTAGTATGTTTAACAAGACACTAAATTTTTCCCAATTTTGTTATTTTTAAATTGTAAATTTTAAATCATTGTAAAAATTGAATTTGTTTATTAAATTTATTATATGATAATAAACATTTTGATGATTTAGGCCATAACTTCGGTGCCCTTACCTGCGAGTCGTGTCGCACTTTTTTCCGTAGAAATTTCACCAGAACTCAGGTTTTACTATATTTTTAATTGTATTTAATTCATAATTATATCGTTTGGTTGATTATAATTAGGAATTTGTTTGCATTTTTGGCAATAAATGTGTTGTCAATCAATTGACGCGAAAATTCTGCAAAAAGTGTAGAATTGATAAATGCTTTGCCATCGGAATGAAGAAAGTAAGTCACGA